TTTATTTCATTTTAAAACATTTGGGATGTCATCGTTAATACAGGAACATAAGCATAAACAGAACTTACAATTATTCACACTAGTGGTCTACATCTCTTTAAATCTCTCAGTGTAATGTCACTTCATATCAACACCTGTGATATAAATAAACTGAGTGGGTCAGGTTGGGAAACCTGGTGAGCACATAGGGATTTCAATCCCACAATGTTATACCATATATATAGTTTAAAATTCACAAAATATACAATTTCACCATACATATATATATATAAACAACTCTTATCCCACCCCGTCGATCCTCGCAACGAGGCTATCCATACTCTCGGACCTAAGATTAGTCGTTTTACCTACTCCATACTCTCGGATCAGAAATGAACGAATTTACCAAATCCATACTCTCGGACTAGGGACGAATGACTAATCCATACTCTCGGATTAAAGATGAATGATTATGCCTAATCCATACTCTCGGACTAGGGACAATAGCTAATCCATACTCTCGGATTAACGACGAATGATTATGCCTAATCCATATTCTCGGACTAGGGACAATGACTATGTCTAATCCATACTCCCGGATAAGTGACATATACTAACTTCTATTCTCTGAGTTTAACTCACTTGTACTCGTAAGAATATACTACCCAATATTCCTCATATTTAATTTAGGTCTACTCTTTATCCTAAATTATCAAATATAATCAGGTATGTTCTTTAACACGAATTTCAAGCAACATCAATTAACTCGCACATAAACATATAATTAATACTTCAATCAATACTTGTATTAAAATCATGTTCATGAAAGGGACTATGCACTCACCTGAGAAGGTGGTGACTCGGTACTCGGACAGCGCTTCGTTTACTTTAAAATAATTTCCTTCGACGAAACCTAGTATTATCACCAATAGATTTTAGTCTATTATTCGCCGAGACTAATTAATAGTCTAGCTATTATTACTATTATATAAGCGTTAAAAAAAATACTTATATAACCCATAATAATAGCCCAAGTATTTATTATATGTTCTTAATAACGTTAATATAATTAAATAAAAACTATATTAAAAATAGCGTAGGCGTAGCTCACTTACAGCGGGTTTTATAGAAAACCAGGCTTTGCTTGGAGCAGCGTTTCCGAGCCGAAAAGCTCTTCTTCTCGGAGCCGTCGAGCACTCCGGGGCTTCCGCCTCGTGCTAGGGAGGTTCCCTAGGCTTTTCGGGGGATTTCGGGGCTAGAGAGAGGTTCTAGAGAGAGAGTAAAGAGAAGAAAGAATGGGAAAGGTGTGAAGAAAATGAGGGTGGGAGAGGTGGTATTTATAGGGTGAAAATGGCTGAACTTGGTGCCACATGTCACCATCTAGTGGCAAGACTTGGGGAGAAAGCAATGGCCAAGATTGTGCCACATCACCCATTTTCGCACAACACACTTCCGACTTCTAAAATCCGTAACTTTCACATACGACCTCCGTTTTTGACGTTCTTTATATCCACGCGTAGGTAAAAATAATATCTACAACTTTCATTTTGACTCCGTCGGCTAATTCTCGACCGATCTTAAATTTAACAGTACGAGGCGTTTAGACTGTTAAATGACCGCGAAGAATTCGTAACTCCTTCATACGGACTCCGTTTTCGTCTGTCTTTTTACCGTTGAGTTCCTATTAATGAGATCTTCAACTCTCATTTATTTCACGTAAGCCAAAAATCGCTCGAACTAAAATTCGAGTTTCGGGCTGTACACTGCTAAGCCGAATCTTAGAAAAATCATAACTTCCTCATACGAAGTCAGATTTGGGCGTTCTTTTTATCGACGCTCTTAGTTTAACATATTCTACGACTTTTGTTTAGATTGCTAAGGCTAAAAAGTCTTCTATCGTAAATTCACTATTTACGTCTTCCGGTGCTGTGTCGGTTTTGCCGTAAAACTTCGGCGGGCCATAACTTCTTCGTTATAACTCGGATTTCGGCGTTCTTTATATGTACGGAAACCTTGTGGCATATTATAAAACTTGGTTAAGAATATTACTTCTAAATAATCTTTTGTTGAAAAGTCATTTTTGACCCCTATTGCCTCTAAATTGACTAGCCTGGATCTGCGGGCGTTACAAGATGACCAGGTGGCGAAGGCTCGGTGGTGCGACATGGCTTCTTCTGGACCGAGCATGGCTAAGCGAACGCGGTGCATACGAGACCGAATGCTGGGCATAGCGAGGGGCGACGCGTCACTCATCCGAGGCGAGTACTGAGTCAGCGATGGAGGGTCCAGATTACGCCACGTCATCGAATTTGCAACAGACTTCGCAATTTCAAGTCTAACCTTTAAAAATTCGTATCTTTTGCATACGATATTCGTTTTTGACGTTCTTTATATCCACGCGAAGGTGGGAACGTACTCTACAACTTTCTTTTAGACTCCGTCGGCTAATTTTGATTCTATTTTAAATTTTATATTATTAACAGGCTAAGACAGGATTGGTCCGTTAAATCCTCATAACTTCTTCACCCGATGTCCGTTTTCACCCATCATTTTCTCGTTACGCTATTCTTATCGAGATCTTCGATTCTCGTTTAGGTCGTGTCGGCTGAAAACCACTTGATCTAATATTCGAATTTTGGGTCGTACATTGCTAATCCGAAACTTCGAAAAATCATAACTTCTTCATACGAAGTCAGATTTGGGCGTTCTTTTTAGTTTAACATATTCTACGACTTTCGTTTAGATCGCTAAGGCTAAATCTTGCTCTATCACAAATTCACTATTTACGCTTCCCGGTATCGTGCCGGTTCTGTCACGATACTTCAATGGATCATAACTTCTTCGTTATAAATCGGATTTCGGTGTTCTTTATATGCACAGAAACCTTGAGACATATTATACAACTTGGTTAAGATTATTTATTTTAAATAATCTTTTGTCAAAAAGTCGTTTTCGACCCCTATTGCCTCTAAATTCACTAGCCCGGATCTACGGGCGTTACACAAACCTTCATTTAAAGCTTGAAGATCTTTATGTTCTTGAAAGGTTTCAATGAGCACTTAATGGATTAAGTAGAGTGTTTTACGAGGATAAAACACCTCCTAATCATGTGTGAGAACCTATACAAATGATAGAAATTGAATTGGAAAAGAGTATTCAAGAACTATGTAACGTAGAGTGATATTTTGAGAAAAATCTAGTTGTGTGTGCAGGAATGAAAATACGACTGTATTTTCTACATGCCTCAGTAAACACGACCATGTAATTTACTGTTAAGGATTCACTCATTTTTCTTCTAACTTTTGCATACAGGTTTCACCTACATTCATATTTTTACATGAAGAATGATGTGAAGAAATAAAATTTAGTAATGGAACCTATGAGGTGTATTTTGGTCATTTTAATGACTTATATCCATATATTGTATAGGTAGGATTTAAAGAGTGTTGATCTAGGGAAATTAACTAGAAGATGAATAGTTAACCTACTTGTGATTGAGGTGAGTACGTGTTGGCATTTTCCCATTTTGGGGAACATGACAAAATTATTTTATGATAGTGATATACCAATGCTTTGATATATGAAACGTTTTGAAATGAAAATGTTAAATACCATTGAAAAGAATGTTTTGAAATAATGCATTGAAAGTAAGAATGTTTTGAAAGTGAAGAATGTTTTGGAAGAACGAATGTTTTGATATGTGAAATGCATCTTTTCAAAGTGTATCTTTCTAGTAACATATGAAATTATAAATGATGATACGAGTATTGATAATGGGGAATGCGAATGCTACAAAGAAAGTAAAAAGGCACAATGATAAAGCTAAAAAAAGTGAAAAGGCGAAATGAAAAATGTCCGGACCATAATGCCTCATAAGAGGCCTAAAGGAATCTACTGGAGCGGTACCTTCCCTTCGCGAAGTAGATGTCCTAATGGAAATGATGCTATAGTGGACTGATTTTGTTATTTATACCTTTGTTTATACTTGGGAGTGGTTCCTTTATTGGACACATGCCCTAAACATAAAAATGGAAACGTTCAATATCATAATTAACCCTTAATGAAAGAAGGGAATGGAATGTGAAAAAAATGTTTTATTGAATTATGTTATATTTGATGAAATGTTTTGATATGGAATGGAATGTGGAAAATGTCTATTTGAAATATGTTATGCATAATGAAATGTTTTTGATGAAAGTACGATAAATGAATTAGGTCATAAACCTGCATCTCTCATGAGACATTACTGTCTTATGTATCTCTTTTAATGACATGTACCTTGGGTTGTACTTAAGGAGTATATAGGATAGATGGAAGTTAGAATTTAAGAGATAGATAATGGAGTGGAGCTTGTCAACTTCTTTATTAATGCTATTAGTGTAATTCATATTTGTTTGATATGGTTTGTATGATGCTTAATGGTAACACCCAAAGTTTTATTTGTAAATGTTTTTATAGGACCGATTTTATTAAATGTGGATTAATACTCAAATGTTTTTATAACCATAGCATTTAAAAAGTTTGAAATTTTTGTGGTGTTACATTAGTCACCATTGTTAGTGGAAACCATCATCACAAGATCACTGACTATCCCTTAAACCAACAGACATTCGTCTTCCCTGTCGAAATCAAGATGCAGAAACAAAGACGTCATGGAATCATTCTTCCTTTCCTCGTTCTTCTTTAGGTGCAATGATAATGACTAAAGCCATTGTTGTTGTTGCTGAATTAGATTGCATATGAGAATGATTTCAAGTTGGTTAGGATGGGAAAGAAGATAACCCACAGATCTGCGATTTCCGATGGATTTTTTTAGAACCTGTGATTTTCAATGGGGTTTTCAAAATGTGGTTTTGGTAGAGAAAAAAGGACTAAAAGAAGAGGGCAATGGGCTGGGGGCGAGTTATGTGGACGTGTAGGGAGGTAGATTGAAGATTTCGATAATACTATGATCTTCTTTTTGATTTTCTACATTTCAAAATTGGTGGGGAAGATCTTGTTTCCAAGTTAAGAAATCGAACATGATTGGTGGTGACGATGAAAGTATGACTCCAATTCATGAGACTTCAGTAGTGGCTTCATCGGAACGGGTCACCAATTGTGATACTGTGGAGCGGTGGCAAAATCAAGAAATGGAGACGAACCATGGAATACGCATTCTCGATGTTAGGTTAAAAATATATATTTTATGTTGATTGTTAATTTCTTTTGGTGGTCGTAATATAGCTTTAAGGGGTTGTACATTTTATCTATTTTGATAAATAAATAATAAACAATAAATAAATAAGAAATAAACAATAAGTGAATTAAAAAAGAAATAAAAAATAACAACATAGTCTTTTTAAGTTTAGTAAAGACCAAACACTTAAGTTTAGTAAAAACCAAACACGCGGATTGTATCGCTTGTAGTGTCTTATTATTATTATTATTATTATTATTATTATTATTATTATTATTATTTATAATTTACTCTTTTTATATTAGTCTTCTTTTAAAAACATAAAAGTGTTAAAAACTATTTTCAAAATGACAACTAAGATACCAGATACCAAATGTAATCGCAACTGTTTTTTGATTTTTTTTTTTTATCTTTGTAATTAATCGAAATTGTTTAGTTTGTTTTTTTTATTATAACTTTTATAATGTATTAATCGGTTTGAATATGAATATATCATTGAGACTAATTTGTTTTCATCTATACAATGATAAAAAAAATATTATTTCAATCTAGGATATACAAACACACTATATTTCTTTCTTAAAATCCATTTTTTTATTTTTGTTATTATAAAATACATCTTTTATATTGTTATAAATACATTTAGTGCTAGATATTTGAATCCATAAGAATTTAATAAGTCCTACATCATTTTGTATTGAACTTCATACCATAAATATTGCCGGATGTTAAAAATAATTACAATGTTGTAACCAACATAAAATATCGAGTGTAAGGACAAGTTCTTTGTAATATTTACAAAATATCACCAAAATATGGAATTCAACCAATTTATTATTTATCCATATACTAAATGACTTTACATTAAACAATAAAATAATGTATCCGGTCAATATTATACATACAATTGATTCCCATAATATTGAGGAATAGTATGGTTATTTGCTACCATATTTTCAAGATTTGACACTTTTGGTCCCTACTCTTTACTAAATTGGTGTGCTGACCTTATATTTTTGAGATTTGCCTCTTCTGGTCCCTACTCTTTATAACTTCCTACTCTAAAGGTATATATACAAATTTTCTTTATAAAAATTATAAAATGGTTGTGTTGGTAAACATTATTCCATACGTACACTAACCTCCATTGCCCGCACTAAAGTGCGGAACTTCTTCCTAATTTTAATCAAATTTCATAATATTGATCCAAACATATGTTTTTATTTTTTCATTTCTCGAGTTTCTACAATATCAAATATGAGTGCAACCTGTATCTTTTTTTTTTTTTTTTTTTTTTTTTTTTTTTTTTTTTGAATTTCTTATGCATTTGTTTGAATCCCATACATTAGTTATTATATTCAACCCACCATATGACCCTTTTGTATTATTTTGTGTATTTATACTGTTTTAGTGAGAGGGTTATATTTATAGGAGAATATCTTTTGTAACATGGTATCAGAGTTTTACCATACCTTTCCTAATTTCTCTCAATTTTCTTATTTTCCTCAAATTCTTGCTGACAGCTGCTTTATATTATCGACAACTTTCTTCTTATTTTTCTATCTTTTATCGCTTTACACTCATTTTAAAAGAGGGCAACCGAAAAACCTTACATAATAAAAAATATCAAGGCTTTCATCCCTCTCATTCTTGATATTAAGCGTTTAAATTATGATTCACAGTGAGAACCATTTGAAACCCACTGCGTACAGTTTGGAGTTTTGGATCATATTCAATAATCGAATGACAAAGCACAGGCGAATGAAATTAGATTGATTTTAACATAAAAGTATGGATTATGCGTAATGTATGTCTCCCGATATTTTATTTGATTATTTTATTGAATAAGAAAATTGAATCTTTGGCTTAGTCGTGATGCGTCTGCTGTTATTTGTGGTACATCTTTTCCAACTGGTTGCTACACGACCTTATATGGGTCGTGACATGTGACTACAATCAGCCAAAACCCTAATCTCGATCCTTAAACTCTATTTAAAGACACTAACTTATAGGGTTCCTCATTTACTTAACCTCCATGTCTAAGAAGCCTTAGAGTAGAAACATGGCCTCATTTTCATAATCATTGTGTTTTGGTGCTTGTGGTGTGATCCTTGAAGAAGAAGTTAGATTTGGTGCATAAGAAGTTAGATTTGGTGCATAATAAGCTTGGTCGAGTGAAGTTTCAATCTCCTTATCATCTCAAAGTGCATGTAAATCATAATTTTTCCACCTTTAACCATATGCTTCTAGATCTATGTTTTAAGCATCTTTTGTCATTTTTTTGGAATGATTTCCTTGGAGTTTGGAGGTCACTAATTATTTTGAAATGGTTTTTTGGTCTAAATATGTTAGAAATGAGTTCATGCTCAAGCCCTCATGGAATCATGGAAGGAAATCCTTGCCTCTTTGGTTTGTTTTAGATCTAGGGTTTGCATTATTAAGGTTTATATAATCTTACCTATTAGAACACTTAAACCTTTTGTACATTAGAGCATTGTACTACATAACCTTTTGTGCTATAAGTACTTGTAAAATCAGAAAAATAATTACATGAAATCACAAATGCCCATATACAATTTCGTACACAGAGAACGGTCAAGTTAAAAAATATATATTCGCTTTAAAATCAAAATTATCATTACGAAATCGCAATCATTTTAACGAAATCCGCAATCCCAAATGTGCAATATCATTGGGTAATTTTTTTTTTTCAGTTATTTGTAAAAAAATATTAAGGAATATGGGTATTTTAATCTTTTCCTTTTCTCATTTTCATCGGATCCATCCCGACCCGGTTTGATAGATTTGGTATCTAGGAAGATCGAAAAAAATCCCCACCCATATAAATTTGATCCACTAATTGCATGCTGGACCACACTTGTATTTGCTGTTGCAACAATACAACCTGCCCCTTGGTTTTGTTTAAAATTACTTTATTGCCGGAAGTTACACAAGTATTACCATTTAAGGCAAACAACACAAGTCTTCCCACTCACTAATCCTTTCTTTCTTTCTCCTGTGCTTCTTCTGCTTCCAATAATTATATCAACAAAATTTCACTCTACGTTCAACCTTCGCAACTCTCTCTCTAGCTTTCTCTATCTTCTCTCTCTCTCTCTCTTCTTCACCGGCTTCACCAGATCGATAATTGAAGCTGAAGGGTCGATCATCCAACTGTTTAATTGTTTACCGAAGACAACAACTGAAAGGATTGTTTGATTCAGCTGCATTTTTTTGAATTCTGAATTTTGATGGATTCTGGGTGTTCGTTTCGCCTCATGGATAGTTAGATTTTCGAATTCAACTCCTTCGGTTTTACAAGGTATGGAATTATGATTCATTTGAAGCTGAATTATGCCTCGAAATTGAATTATGTTTGTTGGGTTTGGTGAATTGGGGTATTTTTCTTCTGGGTGTTTTTTTAATTTGGTTAATTAGTTGTGTATTTGCCAGATTATAGCTTTTACGATTTGTTACCCTTTTTGCTAAAGTGGGGTTGTTGCTTGCTAATTACTCATTTTGGGATTAAAATTCGTGTAATTTGTGATTTCATTATTGAAATTGTGTAATTATGTTTGCTTGTATGTATGCTTTCTGTTGCTTCTTGCTTAAAGAATTGTGTGGCCCAGAATAAAAAGAAAAACATAAAGAACCTTTATGAATCAGGCATTTATTGTGGGGTTTGTAAACTTAAGGTCAGTCTTTTATACAATGAAAGGTATATATATACATATGTTTTATTTAATAATTTTCAATTTTTATTTGTTGCCTTTTTTTTTTTTTTGGTTTGAAAGAAGCTCTGTAAATGAAGCTTATATTTGCTTTAATTAGGATTCCCAGTTGTAGCTGAGTTTATGAGGTTGAGAAATATCAAGACAAAACACCTGTCACTTTTCATGCTTTTCATGTGATATTAGTTTTGCTTTATTAAACTTTTCTCTTCTTCCTGCTGTAAATTCTCAGATACATCATTTATATTGTATAGTTGTATGCTCAAAACATTTAAATCAGCATTCTTCAATAACAAAATGTAGAAAACAACAAAGCATTGTTAACAGTTTTTTACATTGTGCTCTCGTGAGTACTCTTCGCTTTTTTGTTGAACATTTATGAGGTTTGCCACTCTGCGACTTGTTCAGTGGTAATAAATTCTAAATTTTATCTTCATATCTTCTTCACACCTGAATTTCATTTACTTCTTTATTGTTGGTTTGATTTCTTTCAATTATGTGAATTGCACGCATCCCCATGTTCAATATATCCCTATTTCATCAACTATCTTTCTATTGTTTTATTTATAGAATCCATATCTTGGTGAGAAGATAGCAACAAAGTATATATATAATATGGGATGCTTTGTATCAACCCCAAAGGATTCAGGTGGAAAAAGAAGGAGGCCAGGAAACATCGGTGAAGTGGCAGTTTTTGTTCCTGGTTTAAGGATTCCAAAACCTGTGGATTTTCCTGAATCACTTGGAGATCACTTATGCAAAAATTTAGTTGAACGCCTTTCTGCTCTTAGGACACGTATAGTTGTTATGGCAGGACAAGAAGGTCCTACTATCACAAGAACACGAAGACGAAGTGCCACTCAACATGGTTAGTAATAAAACTATTCTAGTTTTTAACACAGTTGGGAAAATGGTCTCAAGGATTCCTAACAATCTGCTTCAATCAAATATACTTTAAGTGTTTGGTTCTTTATTTCTTTCTTCTAAGTATAGAAAGTTGTGTGCCAAATCTTGGGAGAACTATGCGGGTTTAACAGGGTGACTTGAGAGATTAGTCTATGCGATTTTAATAATTTGATATATAATGTTGTTGGGAAAATAGTCTCAAAGATTTCCAATAATTTGCCTCAATCAAATATACTTCAAGTGTTTGGTTCTTTCTTTCTTTCTTCTGAGTATAGAAAGTTGTATGTCAAATCTTTGGAGAACTACATGGGTTTAACGGGGTGACTTGAGGGATTAGTCTATGTGATTATAATAATTTGATATATAATGTTGTTGGGAAAATAGTCTCAAAGATTTCCAACAATTTGCCTCAATCAAATATACTTTAAGGGTTTGGTTCTTTCTTTCTTTCTTCCGAGTGTAGAAAATTGTGTCTCAAATCTTGGGAGAACTACATGGGTGTAATCTGGGGTGACTTGAGAGATTAGTCTATGTGATTATAATAATTTGATATATAATATTGTGGGGAAAATAGTCTTAAAGATTTCCAATAAGCTGCTTCAATCAAATATACTTGAAGTGTTTGGTTCTTTTTTTCTTTCTTCTGAGTGTAGAAAGTTGTGTGTTAAATCTTGGGAAAACTACATGGGTGTAATCGGGGTGACTTGAGAGATTAGTCTATGTGATTGTAATAATTTGATACATAATGTTGTTGGGAAAATAGTCTCAAAAGATTTCCAACAATTTGTCTCAATCAAATATACTTGAAGTGTTTGGTTCTTTCTTTCATTCTTCCGAGTGTAGAAAGTTATGTCTCAAATCTTGGGAGAACTACATGGGTGTAATCGGGGTGTCTTGAGAAATTAGTCTATGTGATTGTAATAATTTGTTATATAATTAGATTTACAAGTAGCCTTTGACTTTCAGGAGGGTCAACTTTAGGTGATCTTCTACAAGCTCTTGAAGATTATTTACCTGTCCTTCTAGGACTGGTTAAAGATGGTAAGTCATGAAATAAGCTATTTTATTATTTTTATGTGCTCTATTCATACTATTATTTTTTTTTTTTGACTAATATGCAGGAAGCCCATTACAACATAAAGTACAATTTACATGGATAAACCAAGAGGATGAATCAGAGGTAAGACAACAATCTAACTATAATATTACAATTTACAATCGAATGAAATGAAAACAATATCTTAATATGTTTTATAATAATAATAATAATTTTCAGGAAATGGCAATGTATAGTGCTTGGTATGAAGTATTATCTGTTTTGCACTTGATGGCAACTTTATCACTCTCACAAGCTAATTTGTTGCTTCTACCAAGAACATCCACTGATGGTTATTTGCCTAAAGTATCAGAAGGTGACTAGTTTCTAATTTTTTTTTTTCTAAAAAATGTTTATTCCAAAAATTGACATGATTCAAGATTAAAGATGCCACTAAAACAGTTTACGAGATTATGAAAAGGGAAATGCTTAAAAACGTTGCAAAATAACATATTCTACTAATATCAGTATGCATGAAACCAGTTAATGATTATTTGGTAGAATACCTGTTTTATGTTTTATAATGATATATGTATATTTCAGTTGATCATTATATAAATTATATAATATTTTAGTTTTCTTAAAGTTGGTAGACTACAGAGGCTAACTATTTAAAAACTTTGTACTTACTCTGTCATTATTGAGGATAGATACAACTTTATAGAGCATTAAATATTTAATGTATTTTAACTTTGAGAATGTTGATGCTAATCTAATGGTTGGCAATTTTAAACAGCTGGATCTTATTCTTATCTACTAATTCTGTCATTATTGAGGGGTTTAGTTTAGATTCTTTTAAGTTAGATTACAAATTTACATTCATAGTCCCTATGGTTTGGTAAACTTTACGGATATTGTCCCTCCAAACAATTTTTTCACTCTGTGGTTTAGTTTTGGTTTCTAATCAATATATAATGACTATTTTGCTTTTACCTAAATGATTTTTGTTTAAGCTTTTATCGGCTTATTAAAACAATAATTGTTAAATTGACTATTTTGTCCTTATCTGTTAATATGACAGAA